CCCGACTCACCGTCCCCTCAACTGGGTCCTCCCTCCAGGCTGGGAACACTCTGTCTTCCTGAGAAGCAAGGAAGGCAATTTGCCTCTCCTGTCCTGCTGACTTTGGAACACTGCCCACTCCTTTCCTTCGCACCAGAATTCTCAGAAGAGAAGGCGACACTGGAAATCCCCGAGACTTTCCACTGTCAAACAGAAAGCGAGCGACTGAGGGCTCGGGGGAGCCTGTCAGCCTCGTGTCCTCGGCACAGAGCCTGGCGCGGGGCAGAAGCCCGATTCGTCTTCCTCTAATCAGCCCCGCTACCTTCTGCAAACTCAGCCGCCAGTCAGCCTTCCTCACCCCTGCCCTGCAAAAACACCAGTCCAGCTGCTGCCTCACTTTAACGACAAATTTACAGACTCTCAAGAGATAAGGAGAATTGTTTTGTCTATTAAACAGCAAATATTAAAAACATTTGATTATTTTAAATTGCCCGTATTTCTTCCAAGTCATTAGAGGCATCTCTTCACCTCAAGCAAAATAATTAACTTTTCAGTCATCACATTGGCTATAATTGTAACAACCATATGTCTAATATACTTTCTGCCATTAGGGAAATAAAAAATTGGTTTTTATTAGTATACTAACATGTCAGTAAATTGCAATGCAGTGGGGAAGGATATTTATCATTCTGAAAAGTATAAATTATTCAATACCATTAAAACAATTACATTTTATTACTTTCAAATGGCATGAATTATTTCGGAAATTATTAAGACTGGAATTGCAGACTTTATCATCCACTCGATTACGAACTCAGCAGCCTTGTGTCCTGGCTGCACCTTGCTCCTGTATCACAGGTCCCACGGCACGTCCCTGTCTCCATCTCAGGTCGGCATGTGCTCTGCGGGTTCTCATAGACCCAGGAAAGTATTGGATTCTTGCACCAGGCTGAAAAGCTCCCTGTAGCAGGTCCACTTCTCGCTCCCTCTTTATATCCCTAGTTTGGTACTGAGTGCTCAATAACTGTCAAATGAATGAATTAATAAACATACAGAGAACGTCAGGAACAAATAACATTATGGATGTTCATTTCGAAATTATTGACTACAGAAGTCCCATGAATGAAAAGCATTAACAGTATCCTTAAATACATATTGTAACTCCAACTATTAGGAAAGTCCTTCTGTATTTCAACAACCACACAGAAGCCCTTCTAAACAGCAACATCCATTTGGCAAACTCTAAGGGGCCGCCAACCCCTTCTCTTTCCATTTCCAACACATTAACCAAACAAAATGCAACACTCGTTGAGATTAGGGTACGTTCTACACACTTAACTAGAAAAATCAAACTCGAATTCCAGCTCTGCCATTGCTTGTCTTGGTTTGACTTCCACAACTACCTGCGACCCTGCAGGATTTGGGAAGCAGCAGAGGGGATGTGGGCAGTGGGCAGGATTGTAACCTGCACAGACGCACCCTCGAGCTGTGTATTAAGCTTCTACACAGAGACACGTCCATGAATCTGTCCTCCAGGAGTGTTCAAGGGGAGAGGCCCAAGCAGGCAACTCTCCCCCTACCTCTGGATTCACAGGGAGCAGCCTCGCCTGTCTACGTTTCTAAATGTTTCCAAGAAAGATTTTGAGAGAAGAATCTGTAGCTAAAAATAAAGCTTGAAAACCACTGTTCTAGATAAACCTAAAGAGGTGTGGAGGGAAGTGTTTATTGAGCATTTATTATGTGCTGGCTAATTTTAAAACATTTTAATTTCATTTAACCCTCACCACATCTTTATGAGATAGAGAACAATCACCCCAGTTTAGAGAACAGAGAACTGAGGTTCAGAGAAGGGAAATCCCATAATCAACTAGAGCCAAGAGCCCTGTCGTGATTCGAAAGCCAAAACTGTTCTCTGAGCCATCGTCCAGCTCTAGAAGTCTCTGTGACCTCCCCACCTTCTCACCTAGAGCCCCTCCATGCTCCTCCCTTACATTTTAAGCCCACTCAGTCACCTAGTCATAGATTAGTTAACTCATTACCATTCCGTGTGGAGGAACTTCCGTTAACTTTTTGCTTCATAGTGATGTCCATTCACTAGAGAGTCGTTTCTTGAGCATCTAATAGATGCCCAGAACTAGGCCCTTGGGAGACACTGTCAGGACATGGTCTCTACCATCAAGAAACTCACTGACAAGTGGGAGGAAATACAGAGCCAATGAATGGAAATATCACAGATGGTACCACCGTCGCCTGTGCTGGGAACGGTGCAAGGACAAGGGGTCGTGGGGGATGGAAAGGACAACTGCTGTCATCTTTACCATTAGTGTTCAATGACAGCTGTGGCTGACCTGCTTCTGGTCACGGTGGAATAGAACCCACCACCTCCAGCATCAGCCCGGCCTCGAGAGAAAAGGGCTCAGATACCAACACGTGCCCTAGTCCCGTTTCCTCTTCAGTCCTGGGGCGAGGGTACTATTCGAGGAGGTAAGACAAACCCAAACTCATCAGATTTTTCTTCACTGTCCCTGAAGAATAATCTGACTTGAAATACATTTAGACATTTAAAAAATCGACTCCTAAAAGTAATTCTATCCCTTGCCTTCCCACTTAGACGTTCCTGTCCCAGCCAAGCTAAGGAAAGATATTGTTCTGCTGCAGTTTCTGACTCCCTTGTGTTTCTAGGTGAAATGGAATATGAGCGTTATACCCACCTTGCTCTTATTTTCTAATCCAATAACAACCCGAGCACTGGATCTCGAATGACAGCGGTCAGACAGGTTAATGTCCAAGCATTAAGGCAAAAATCCCTGTGTCTCATCCCTACAGACTGTCTCAGACCACTTAAGTTTCCATTTTTCTTGAGCAATCCAACATTTTCCCCCAAAATTCTTGCCTTTCAGAAAATAAACAGCGAAAACACTGGTCATGGTAATAAACCACTGATGAGAGCAAAACGCATACCACAGAGCAAAACTCAGCACATGTGAACACATACAAAAATGCCACTGAAAAGCAAAGTGAATAAAATGCGGTGTACGAAATAGCACAAATACATAACAAAATGTTGTCAAAATGCACAAATTATCCTAGCTCTGGAAATTTATTTGAAGAAAATAATTCAAATGAAGAAAAAAGCATAAAAATGCTTTCTTGTAATATCATATGTGACAACAGAAAATGAGGATGGTGATGGAGGCATGGCTGAGTGAATTGTAGGCTGTTAAAAATGAGCATTAGGAAGCCCGAGTAAGAGCATGAAAAACGTTACTGATGTGTCTTTAAGTTTAAAACAACATAATTGGATATGTAATATGACTGCAATGTGGAAAAATAATTCTGTTGGCCTAAGGACCAGGAAATCATGGGTTATGTTTTAAAATGTTGCTAGATGTTATAATGTTGTCTTTACAATAAAAAAATTCAGAGGAAAACATACAATGAGTCACTGGCTGACAACTGCCATTATGTAAGACACAGTGTCCCTTTGCAGGGACAATGACAGACAGGTGGGCAGACTAAATGCATGCACAGATGCCAGGTTCATCTCTCTTAACCCAGTTTATTTATTAATGTTGACCTTTCCGGAAATTAACGTTAATCTAGTCAGCAAATTACGGTCTGATTTTACGTGATTGCCAACAGGTAATTAGTAATATTGGAAGATGCCAGAACGGGATTGAGAGTGCAGCGCGGACGTGTGAGCCGCGCGGCCGCCAGCGGGAGGGCTCTCAGCTCACAGGGACCGAGACTGGTTTCTAACGTTCAAGTGTGGGGCATTGGAGATCTTCGCTTCTCAGTGTAAAATTCAGACGGCCCCTGCAGTCCTGCTGGCCCTGGCCCGCCCCGCCCTCTGCCCCCACCCCGTGAACCCCAGTCCCTGGTGCCCACTGTCCACACGGCTGGAGCCGCATGACCAGCCCGACGGAGGCAGCACCATCTCTGTCTCTACAACCTGCCCTGAGCTGAGGTCGACAGGGTGTTTTTTATATCATAAGCGTTTATTGAATTTTTTGTTTATTGTAAAATATACATAACATAAAATGTATCATTTTAACCATTTTTCCATGTACAGCTTTGTGGCATTAGGTAAGTTCTCATGGTTGTGTAACCATCACCACCATCCGTCTCCAGGACTTTGCGTCATCTCATGCTGAACCTCTGTCCCCGTTAAACAGTAACTCCCGCTTCCCCCTCCCGCAGCCCCCGCAACCACCATTCTACTTCTGTCCCTATGAATCTGACTACTCTAGGTCCCCATGTAAGTGGAATCGTCTTTGTCCTTTTGTGACTGGCTTACTGCACTTGGCAAAGTGTCCTCAAGGTTCATCCATGTGTAGCACGTGTGGGCATTTCCTTCCTCTGTAAGGTTGAACGATCTATTCCGCCGCATGCATAGACCATAAGACGGGGTTTTCAGGGGCCACAGCCCACCTCTCTTGGGATTACCATCAGGTCACACCTGTCACTGGTCCAGCTCTGAGCCCAAGCGTCTTTCTGAGGAATGGGCTCCCTCTCACCCTCAGCCCCACACTGTGCCATCCTTCCCTTCTGTTTCTCTGGCGCTCCTTCGCTGGGGAACCTGCCCGGGCCTCCAGCTCTTCTTCCCAGAGTCTAGACGGTGCGTGCCCTCCACCCCAGGACCGTGTGCTCACGCGTGTCCAGAAGTCCCACCTCGGCCGTGTTCCGTCCACCAGTCGGCACGCCAACACCTCACCAGGCATCCGAGGTGGCAGCCACCTGCCTAGACTGCACAGCTCTGACTGTGCTTCTGTCTGCTCCGCCTTACCTGCCCGGCGGTCCCTCTCTCCATTCCTGTACAGGAGAAGGTGTGGTCCTGAGAGACGCACCTTCCCAGGGGACCTGTGTCATCAGCCCGCCCAGCTCCCCCCCCCCCATTCCAATGTTCTTCCCTTCTACTGCCCGTCACCAGCCACCTCTCGGTGACTCCCCTGTCTGCCCAGACCCTCGAACGCTAGACCCGAGACACAGAGCCCAGACTGCACAGGTCCGGGCACACTCACAGCCAGAGCGAGTTCCTTCCTTGGGTGATGACGCCCGTGAACCTGGTCAGGCGCCTGGCGTCCACCTCGATCCACTGGTGGAGGTCGTTCCTCCCCGCGCACCACGCCCCGTCGTAGAAATCGTTCTCGTTAATCCCCGCCTGCGAAGAAAGAGAGGGGGTTCTTCAGAAGGACTCTGAACTGAAGAAAATGAAGACACACCTTTTCCTGAGATGGAGAGGAAGGAAGGGTGATAGGAGAAGAAAATGAGGAAGGTGGTAGAGAAAAACTAGTTGCGCCCAAAGTCCTTATTCTAAATCATAAAAGGGAGTCGCTTAGTATTAACAAGTTGGAAATATTTCCATATGTTATGTCCTCTTTTTGCCCATGCGAAAGATGAAATTCAATGAGCTCTCCTATTACTCACGCGCCTAACACATACGAAGCATCTCCCACATACCAGCCCACGCGCCAGGTGCTGGGGCTGCGAAGGTGAGCAGCTCCGTCCCAGAACCTCGCCACCCGGGCAGGAAGAAAGACAGAGAAACAAGTGGATTAGAACACGGAGCGGCACGTGCCGTGTTAGGAATACGAGCATGTTGCTGAGGGAGCGTTTAAGGACAGCACAACCATCTCAATCTTGGCACGACCAGGGTGACATGTGAGCTGGGTGTCGAAGGTGCGTTTATCTAGCAAACATTTGTTTGGGAGTGGTTAAGTAATTTGATGTATTCAGCGTCAGTTACTATTACTACCAAAAATTCTTTTTTGTTTGTAAAGAGACTGGGTCTCACTCTGTTGCCCAGACTACACTACAGTGGCTGTTAACAGATGTGATCATAGCACACTACAGCCTCGAACCCCTGGTCCAAGCGATCCTCTGCCTCAGTCTTCCAAGTATCTGGGACTAAACGCACGTACCACTGTGCCCATCCCCAAAGTTCTTCTGATCTGAATTTCCAGGGTAAAGTTTCTGCTCTGGAATTTTCCCTGTATCATCACCATTTCAAGAGTGAATTGCCTGACTGTGCCTCGCCCCTGCCAATAAAAAGGACATTTGAACCAAGTGAAGCATCCTGGTTTACTAAGACCCTTTCTGCACTTACCCAGTTTTTCCATGGCTATTTCACAAGGACATGATCAGATGAGAAAAAGTCTGAATGTTAAAAATGAAGCCAGCCCGTTTTTCCTACCTCTAAGCACTTTTCAGCCCAAATTCTAGGAACAATATTACTTTTAACGGGCAAGAGAAATGTGAATTTAAGAGTCCAGCTATAACAGACACATGACCTGGCCAAGGGTTCCACTAACAAACTCTATCCACCACTGCACCAGCTAACGTAAGCCTTGCGTCAGGACCAAACCCTTGTCTGTGCCCTCCCGATCCACTCCTGAGATAATCTTGAAGGAACTTTGAGGGCAAATGGTAGAATACTAATGTATCACAGCCTTCTAAAGTGCTACCATCTCAAATGAAGGTGAATTTAAAGAGCTATTAGTCAATACCTCCAAAACCCAAGCTCTTGATTAACCAGCACATAAGTGTCTCAATGGCACGAGTGTCTGTAATGAGGACCTGGAGGTGCTGCATGGCTCTGCCTTCCAGAATTATCGAAGAAAGGCTCGGTTTTGCAAGTGTGTGTTACCAGTGCTTTGGGGTGTTTAGTTACAGTCTAATTCTAAAGAAGTGATGGCGCCTCTCTATTAAGCGTAACATCTCAGTGTCCCACTCTGCAGTCAAGGAGGTCACGCTAGCAGCTGGAAGGCTGTAGTTACCCAATCACGCCCTTTCTGTATTTGTTGGCAGTTATCCTCCTAATGACAGAGGTTAGCAACACATTAGTGACCTACAATATCACAACTCATCTTTTCAAGAAACCAGAACATGCATTTATATTTTGTGGTGGTTCCCCTTTTCTTGTAAACAGCCCAGGAGACTGGGGTTTAGAATAGTCTGATGCATTTGCACAGTGAACTCTCACTGTACCTTGAGTGTATGTCAAATACTGGCCTAGACAATAGGAAGACAGCTGTGGAAACACGTGCAGCCTCGTCCTCTTGGAGCTCAGAGTGGGCAGGAGGACTGAAGCCTATACGTGGCACCTGCGTCTTGTTCTTGTCATCTTGAAATCAACCACCATACTGTGTTGGTGAAGAGTGTGTGCTCTGATGTCCCACTGCCAGGGTGAGACATCGGGGCCACTGACACACCATAAACTCGGGCAATTTGCCTAAGTGCTCTGTGCCTCGGTTTCCCCATCTGTTAACATGGGGACAAGGACAATTTCTCACTCAGAGTGTTCGCAGTGCTTATAACAGGGCCTGGTACATAAAAACGAGCACTCCGTAAATGTTAGTTATCAGAGTATTTAAAATGATGAGTATGTGATTAGCACTGGCAAAATGTGAAAATATGGGTGCTTTATGAATTATTTCGAGTTTTACAAAACACTAGAGAATTATGGTACTATTGCAGTTCATTGTGTCACATCTTCTACAACGTCACATATCCAGAACAGGGTTACAAAATCTGAGGACAGTGGCGGCCCACAATTTAAAGTTCCCAACAGGAGTCCGTGATGCCCCTCCAGGGGACATTTGGCAATGTCGGAAGCCGTTTTGACCACCACAACTCGGGGCGGGTGTGCTCCCAGTATCTGGTGGGCAGAGGCCAGGGATCCTGTTAGACACCCTACAGCGCACAAGACAGCCCGCAATGAAGAACTGCCCGACTCAAAACGTCAACAGTGCCAAGGTCTACAGCTAAGGAGACGAGAAGAGAACAGCCACATAGCCTGAGATGTTTGCCTAATAGAATCATGGAAACCTGCAGGAAACTGTCCACCAAAGTCTACTGACCAGGATTTGGAATTACATTTAAGGCTCCTGGGTTTGCCAGCCTGGATATTTTGCTTCTGCTCTAATCTCAGCTCTTTCTGAGCACACTAGACAATTAAAGGCAGGACAGTGTCAGGGGAATGGACAGCCCTTCCTGAAGATGACTCACAGGGAAATGACAGCCATCTCTGAAAAATCAACTGTGAACTTAAAAACTAAGTGTCTGGAAGAATTCAGTGGAAGAGGAGGTACCAGTCCCAGAGATGTCACCAAATTATACCCCAGTGCAATAAATGATATTTGTATGTGCCTCTGAGAAACCAATAAAAGAGTACATTCATCTCTTTCTGCTTAATAATGTAGGGAAATATTTGATAAATTCTGGAGAAATTTCAATTAAAAGTTGGTGAAATGAAGTTTGATTCCTGAAAGGATAACCTAGTCTTGAAAATACCACTAACGTAGAATAATTCTTTCTACTACAGCACCAAATAAAGTGAGAATTAATATAATTTTCTGAAGGTAATTAAATTTTATGCATCATTTTTTACCTTAAAAAACATACCAGTGCACCTAACAGACTCGATTTGGCTTCAGATAAGCGTGGGAATTATTAAATCCATAACAAAGAGAAAACCTGGTACTATCCAAGATCAATCTAATAGGATTTTTCTCTTTCAAGGTGATGGCATAAACATATTAGTTTTTCTGTGTTCTTCACTCAAAAATCCTCCCCAAACAAATAAAACGAGATGCAGAAATACAACTTCAATCTCTGATAAAACTATAAAACATTTATAATCCCCAACGTACAATATATGAAGACAGAAATCAGACGGAGGAACCCTGAATGACTCGGTGGGAAAAGGAAGTGTAAACGTCAAAACGGCACAGCACTGAGAAGCCAGCCACAAAGGACTTCAGAAAAGCTCTGAACCTGGTTCCAAGACCTCGTGGAAGGGGAGGGGAAGGCAGGACTGAAACAGAGAATTGCTTCAAAATGTGTACTAAAAAAAAAAATTAGATCCCCACATCCCCACCCTGACTCCACAGAGGGCCTGAAATTTTTCTATTAAAAAAAGCACATTGTAGAGGCTCTGGGTTGGGGGACACCAGGGACAGGGTAGGGAAGGTGTGCTATGATGTGTAAAAACAGGGACCTCAGGGGGCGGGTGGCAGCATGATGCAGGGACAGCTGCCTCAGCTCCCCTCCCCCACAGCGGGGGAACACCATGCAGCCAGGCTTGCAACAAACACGAGAAAATGAACATAAAATGTAACAGAGAATAGAAAAAGCTCAAAAAACTATAATTAATATCCCTAGAAAGAAGACCTTGCTTTCATGAAACAAGAACAGGATATTCTACAAAAGGAAAAAGTATTAAACAAGGAAGAGCTCTTAGAAACCAGGAATGTAAATGCTGAAAAATTTTAAAAGTCAATGGAAAGGCTAGAAAGACAAAACAAAGAAATCTCACAAAAAGTAAAACAATATATAAAATAGGCAATAGAAGAAAAATAAGAAAAGCAGAAGAAGAAATCCAAAAGAACTTTAGGGGGAAATAAATCAACAAATAAAAGCTATAAGATAATCTCACAGATCTGAAAGGCTTATGTCTCCAAAACACTATGAATCTAGTTCTTAGGAATAAACTAAGACCTACATCTAAGGCATATCATTGTGAAACTTCCAAACATCAGAAATAAAGAGAAGCCCTGAAAGCTTCCAAAGAGGAAACAAATACAGAAAAACAAAGAAAGGAACGAAAATGGAACCAGAATTCTCACTAGCAGCACCTGAAGCCAGAAGAATGCCAGGAGAGTACCTTCAAAATTCCAAAGGAAAAGATTTTCATCCTAGAATTTTACCTTCAAACAAACTACCAATCGTGATGGTAAAATAAAGATATTTTTAGATTGACAGATATTGAAAAAATTTATTTCTTATGCACCATTTCCACGAAGCTACCAAAGGATGCACTCCCCAAAAATGAGGCAGAACACCAAAAAAAGGAATACACTGAATCCAGAAATCAAGGGTTCCAACCAAGGAGAGGATTCTCAGAATGCGGGTGAAGAAGTCCCGAGATAGGAGTCACGCAAGAGACCCAGGGAGCAGCCCAGTCAGAACTCGCAGGTCACAGGGCTCTGGAAGGGACGTCCAACAGAAACATAAAAAACAAAGCGGACTAGAAATCACCGAACAGGCTTGGCCTCGTAACAATTATATTGAAGGGTTTTTTACAGACCTGTAACTATTATAGGAGAAGATGTTCTTAAAAATCTAAGCAGGTCTAGGAAAACCAAACGGTGTCAAATAATG